TTTGTTGCGCGTCCAACCCGCCTCCCCCCTACCCCCTGCATCGAATGGAATGTAATTAGGTTGAAACAGGAAGCCCTCGGGCCTCCTTCGATGCATCCTCCCCCTCCTCCTCCCCTCCTTCCCTATCGTTTCCGCCCATTTTTTTGTTCCCTATTCTTCTCTCCTGTCCTAGTTGGACAGGAATCTCGCCCCTCACGACTTATCATCTCTCTTTCTTTCTTTTTCCGTATAATATAAAAATTGAATATTTAAATCTCTCTCAATTGGAGAGATTTAAGTTTCCACTCGGATCTCAATATTAACCGGCTACTTCGAAATCTACGCGATACACGCGAATTACGTAATCCGCCCACGCAAAGGCTATTCAAACCTCGACACAAAGAATAAAAAAGCCGTAAATACAGTATCATGTATATATATATATATATATATATCTTTCTTTCTCGAGCTTTTTTCGCCGATAATCAATATCTAAAATTTTTGTTACAATTAATACAATATCCTCGTTATTTTCCTCGACCAAAAAAAAAAAAAAAAAAAAAAAAAAAAAAGAGACTCTTTCAAAAAATTCGCTCCCCGTAACGACACCATTCCAATTAACCCAATCGAACATAATCGAACGATTTTCTATTGTCCATTTCAAAAACAAACACGTTGCTAGCAATTGGATCGCCAGCTTGGGCCAATTAACCCAGCCGATAATAAGCCTGTATTTCAGACAGACACCTAAATGTTCAGGGCCCCCGTGAATTGGCGAGGACGGTGAAAAAGGAAACGGGACGGCACGGGCCCCTCGTGCAGATGTCCCGTCAACTCGCACCTGGCGGCAGGTGGTGGCTGCCGCGGGGGTTCCCTGCCTCTCCCTAATCCCCCCCTCCTCCTTCACGATCGTGCGTTACTCGGCGCGTGTTCCAACAACCGCCGCCCTCTCCTCTCGAGGAGGAAACCGATCAACTGCCCGCCTCGATGAAATCCTTGGCTTGGTTATTGTGGATTACGAGATTGGTCAAAGGTCGTATCTTTCCACGTGCTATCGAAATATTCCTTCTACGCTGCTACGTACACGCGATGAAAGCGGTGTGTATTATGATCGTTCAAAAAATGAGTTTCATTTACGAGACTATGTATGATATAGTTTCAGCAGCTTATTCGTATATCGTTGTCTCGAATACGTGGTAGTGTACATTAAGAAAGAGTAAAAAAGTTTTTATGTTGCTACGTCGATACGTCAGAGTTCTACGATGCTAAATGAAACGTTTAGATACGCTATTCGTTTTGGATCGATATTCGTGACGAATACGAGTTTTTTTTTTCTAAACACTTTCTAATAGCGAATTGTAGACAGTTTAAGTTCTTTCTTGTAAGTAGATGAGAGTATTAATTGGAATTACACAGGGCTGGATGGAAATTAAATTTCTGGATCGAAGGTGTCGATGAGAGTGAAGGGAAAATATCTTTATTTATCGATACGTTTCGAGAAGACGTGGCACGATCGTCTCGCCGTTTCAATCGTACTCCGCACCGATGGTGATGCTCATCTCTTCGGACACGATTACCGTCTGATGGTACCAGCGGTTCGTGTCGAGGACAACTGTTCGTGGAGAAGAAATTGAACGAGAATTAAAGGAACTGGTACTCGATCGACGAAACGGAAATGTCTTACTTATTTCACCGGGATGCACAACCACCTCCAATCTGTTGCAAGCGTAATGACACTCCCTGGGAGGGTCGAGGATCCACAATTTCTCGCCCTTGATCTGCGCCTGCCACGAGGGGTGTTCCACATCGTCGACCTGGCAGAAAGGAGAAAATAATACGAATGCATCGTCGATAAAACTCGATACGCGCGAAACGCATGCATTGCCACCCACGTGCATAGGGGCCCCATATCCGTGGCTACCCATAAAAATCCAATCGGTCTTCTCCGTCTCTGCCGTGGCTGGAAGGAAGTAAGGCCTTTGGTAATGCTGCCTTAGCAAACTGCCGATTTCCTCGTCGCAATTGCTCCTGCAAATTTCATGTCCCATGTAATTAAATGGAGATTACGAGGGAAGGAAGATACGCGCGAACATCGAGACGAAAATTATCGAGGGGAATAATATAAATAGGAATTCGAGTTAAAATAAAAAAAATAGCAATGCATACACGAATTCGAGTAATTTCGAATAATTCGATAATTGATTTGAAATTATAATTAATTGGGGAAAAATGAAATGCAATGGATAAATGAATTCGAATTTGCATTAAAATAATAAAGGGAAAAATACTAAAGAAATAGCGATAGACACGAATTCGAATTTTCGAATAATTCGACAATTGATCTGAAATTACGATTAATTGGGGAAAAATGAAATACAATGGACGAGTTCGCATTAAAATAAAAAAAAGTAGCAATGTATAGACACGAATTCGAATTTATATTAAAATAAGAAAACTAATAGAGAAATAGAAATAGACACGAATTCGAGTTTTCGAATAATTCGATAACTGATTTGAAATTACAATTAATTGCAGAAAAGTGAAATGAAATGGACGAACGAGTTTGAGTTGGTATTAAAAAAAAAAAAAAAGAAAAAAGAAACGTAGCAACGCAGATAGACACGAATTCGAGTTTCTAGGTAATTGTTTCAATATACACGGGATACACAGATATATATAGCTTGTCGGTAAGCTCGTTAGCCGGATTGTGCGCATACGTGTGAGTTTTAGAACGGTTGTCGAAGCTCCAAAACTGCCTCGTTCACGGGCGCCCAGCGTTCTCTTATTCCCCTATATATTTTTCTATTTTGTTTTCAACGCCCGTTTCGACGACGTCCTTTAAAATATCTAATCCAATATATATAATTATCTCTTCCCGGGGGTAGGGCAAAAGGGGAACCTCTACGAAAGAAAATCCCTCCCCTTCCCTTCAATTAATAACAATATACGCTCACTTACCAGCCAACGTACCAAGGCTCCGTCCCCTCCTCCAACAATGATCGGTCGGTGCTCATCTCGAACACGTCCCGAAGACTCTTGAACTCGGTTCTGTACGGGAAAAATTGGCAATTCCCGTCCACGCCCTCGTACAACGACTTGAAGAAATGAAACGAGAATACCTCCGTCGCCGTCCAATTAATAGTC